CGGAAGGTTCCTCCAATGTTTCACGCATACCTTCGTGAGAAAATCCAACATTTGCCGACCTGTCCGGAAAATCCTTTTTCCCAGACTTCTGTAGTGTTTGCACAAGGTATTCTCGAAACTGACCTCCGGTCAACATTGAATCAGATTCCTCTTCGTTTTCCATGTTAGGCTGTGCACCAGATGTCCCTTCATATCTTCCGTCTATGTGGGTATTTCCATAAGTCCTTATTGAATTCGATAAAACTGTTTCATGCAAGTTGCCATCCAATCTTGGCTGCGAGATTTCTCTAGCAGAGGTAATTGTTTTTGGAGTTCGATCTCCTCGGTGCATTGCCCTGCGTTCTTGAGTCAACCTAAGCATGTTGCCATGTCTAGGTCTTTCCTTGGCAATCCGTACGTATGGCTGGGCTCTTCTGCAAAAGGAGCAAAAAAGGGCACAAGGCTGGTTGTGAAGGAATTCTATCCAATAACCGACCAACATTCTGTTTTTTTGTTCTTGTGAACCTGATCTGAACACTCGGATACGAGTGAGCACTAGTAACTAAGCACGGCTGTAACTTGTTTAGCCAGAATGTATGGCCATTACTGTACTCGCGCGATTACAGCACTCTATTGGATAGTGAATAGTACACTTTCTCGAATAGTACCCCATTCTATAAGAGCCAGTAAAAAGCCCCCCGGGAGGGAGGGGGCTTGTAACCAAGCGCATGTTCAAGTTTGGTGTTCTTTTGCTAATGCTCTTGTCCAATTCTTTGTAGGGCTGGTTTCAGGTTTAAAATCGTAGGTCTTGTTACCATTTCTGTCGAGTCGTTATACTCAACAGTAAAATTAAGGCTCCTTTTTCCTTTTTTTGTGCTGGATGACGAAAATGGGGAAAAGATTGTCCTCTCTTACATTTCGGTGAAAAATAGAAGCAATCTGTACCTTCGCATGCAACGACGAAAATCTACACGATTCAGTAGCGACTTCCTTCTATCAAACGTTTCCTTTCCCTTCTGTGCAGGATAGTACGGGAATGTGGGAAAATTGGAAAACACATAACTATATAGAGAAAGAAAGAAAAAGTCAACACCTCAACATAGGCGGTAAAAGGATTAAGGGGGCACATCACCCAAAAATTTCATATGGCATTCAATTGACCGTAACTTTGGTGTTTCTCAGTGGATTTGAGTGAAATTTTGACTACACACTCCTGCCACTATGCTGGCCCTCAGGACATGATTTACAAGTTCTTGCGCCTCACTGACAGGCTTTCCAGGCCGGAAAAACTCAAATTTCCGGCATAGTGCTACGGTGTGCGAGCCACCCAGGAGCCAAACAAATGCATTTACATTTTTTCACACTTTCGTGCCCATTCTGTCCGTGCGCGGGACCCGAACCTAAAACAAGTCCAGAAGCAGCCATGGGTGGTGGGGTAGGGCCCCTCAACGTGGCCCTGGAATCTGTCACAACGGAACGAGTGGGCCGGTTCTCTCACGGACTCCCACAGACCCAAGTCAATATTTGAATTTTTTAGGTTGAGCACTTGCTACGAGGTCGTACCTTTGATACAAAATCCAGTGCTGGGACCTCCACAGCAAGCCATTTCCACAGCGCTGCACACCAAATCCAGGATGCCCTCAGAAACCGGCAAAGACTGCCACTCACGTTTCACTACTGCCTAGTACTGAATCCTACCTGACTTCTTGACACGACTCAAACTTGCCAAAGACACTAAGTCAACTTCAACTACAATAATCAAGCCACATATCTGCAACGTCACGAGGGTGCTGGCAAAAGTCCTGCTGCACGGCGGCGGGCTTCGCCCGCCGCCGTGCAGCCCAATACGTGGTTTTTGAACGTGATGACAGCAAATGACAGAATGCAACAAAAAAATCTTTCCTTGCAAGGGCACATTTTCGGCCATAACTCTTGAACGGCTGGTCAGATAGGGACACAGTTTTCAGAGAATTTGCAGCTATTCATGCTCTTTCAACTGACGTGGCACTCAATATGAATTTACAAATTCGATTTTTCAGCGAATTTTTGGGTGATGTGCCCCCTTAACGTGTTAAAAACTCAAAAACAAAAGCCTAAAGTTGTAGACAAACACGTTGAACACACCAGGGAACACTTGTCACTCTTTCACTACGCGTGATACCTACCTCTACAATTTTTCCAAGGCGCAAACCAACAACCTTCCAACTTAGTTGAAAGAGCATGAATAGCTGCAAATTCTCTGAAAATTGTGTCCGGATCGGACCGGCCGTTCAAGAGTTATGGCCGAAAATGTGCCCTTGCAAGGAAAGATTTTTTTGTTGCACGCTGTCATTTGTTGGCAGCACTGTATTTGAATGTGAGCAGACCGTGCGCAACTTGTCGTATCATGGAAACACGTGAAAGTGTGCAGAATTTTGCTCCAAGTCCTAAAAATCAGGTTTTTGAGCCACGTATTGGGCTGCACGGCGGCGGGCGAAGCCCGCCGCTGTGCAGCAGGACTTTTGCCAGCACCCTCGTGACGTTGCAGATATGTGGCTTGATTATTGTAGTTGACATTGATTTAGTGACTTTGGCAAGTTTGAGTCGTGTCAAGAAGTCAGGTAGGATTCAGTACTAGGCAGTAGTGAAACGTGAATGGTAGTCTTTGCCGGTTTCTGAGGGTATCCTGGATTTGGTGTGCAGCGCTGTGGAAATGGCTTGCTGTGGAGGTCCCAGCACTGGATGTTGTATCAAAGGTACGACCTCGTAGCACACCCTAAACCTAAAAAAATTCAAAAATTGACTTGGGTCTGTGGGAGTGTGTGAGAGAACGCCAACTCGTTCCGTTGTGACAGATTCCAGGGCCTCGTTGAGGGGCCCTACCACATCACCCATGGCTGCTTCTGGACTTGTTCTAGGTTTGAGTCCCGCGCACGAACAGAATGAGCACGAAAATGTGAAAAAATTGTAAATGCATTTGTTTGGCTCCTGGGTGACTCGCACACCGTGGCACTATGCCGGAAATTTGAGTTTTTCCGGCCTGAAAAGCCTGTCAGTGAGGTGCAAGAACTTGTAAATCATGTCCTGAGGGCCAGCATAGTGGCAGGAGTGTGTGGTCAAAATTTCACTCAAATCCATTGAGAAACACCAAAGTTACGGTCAATTGAATGCCATATGAAATTTATGGGTAGGCTGCCCCCTTAAGAAGGCGAGTAAAAGAAAAATGGCTTTTGCGTCTCGTTCTGGAGGGTCCATCAAGGGTGCAATTTTAAACCCATAAGTTTAAGCGAACATTTAAGAAACCGGGGAGGGTTGGGTGCTTCAGTTTGTCCATGTCTGTTTCCTGAGTTTGTGTATGCACTACACACATGTATTTGTGTAGGCGGTCGTGTGTGTGTGTTTATGGGTGTGCATGCTTGCATGTGCGCGTATGTGTGTGTGTGTGTGTGTGTTTGTGTGCGAGCAGTTCTTACGAGCGTGTGCTCTTGAAGCATTACTTTGGTTTGAATCTCCAAAAAATCACGTTCTCAAACCGTTTCATGCTTTACCCTACTGTGTTTACCTATTCGAAAATTTAAAACCATACAATCAAACGATTACCTCCATTCCTGATTAGATTCCGCTGGGAAAGAAGTAGCCGATCGAACTCCAAAACCAAAGGAACTTGGACTTGGGCGGAAATTAGGTATGGGCGATCTGGAAGTGCATGGCAAAGTGTATCCTCTTGCCATTGTCACCCTCGGATTCTGTGTTGGAACAGAAAAAATGTGATAAGACCCATAACAAAATTAATAGTGTAAGCAGAAAATTATTATACTCTTAAAAATACAAGAAACTGTGCCTGATGTCATGCAATTGTACTCAAGTTGCTATCTGATGTTCATGAGTGATATGTCGCCCTGGAACTAGGATCTCTCTGTTTAGTACCCCAGGTGATGGTTGGAACTGTACTATATTAGTAGTGCTCTCCAGGCACAATCTTCCTCAGCCTACTCAAGCCCAACTTATAGCGGGTGAATTCCGCGAAATATTGTGCGCTGAACCTGGGGTGGTCATGTCTTGCAGATTTGCTTTGTGGAAAGTTCAATGGATTTGTGTGCTCTTCATTGCAGTCGTGAGTCAGTTTTCAAAGTGTAAAGTCATTTCTGCGGGAAAAGTATGAACTGAAGCGTCGCAGGAACCAGCTTCCTTATAACATTTTCGCTGAGCCACTTTAACTTTGCTAAGCCTGTTGCTCAGTCGCCAAATTCTGCTCAGAATTTTGCTCAGCCTTCTAAGTGTCAGCCATATAGAATCACGACATGACATACTGCGCAGACGATCACAAAATGGCCCTAGGAGCAATAAACTTGTTAATCATCTGTGAGTGTCGAAGATTGCATAACTCCTCTCGTACTGGACGAAAACAGAGTGCTTGTGGCCCGTACAAAATTGCTCATTTTTGCTTCAAACACCCAGAGCTGTAGACAGAAAGTTTCAAACACCAAACCTTTACCAACCGTCAAGAGACCTGAAATGATGTGTGAGGCTCAATATTTAAATCATCTTTGTTTCTTTTTTTACTTTTGACGGCTATAATAAATCCTTACAGGAAAACCACCGTTCCCGCTACATATTAACGTGGTTATGATCACAAACTTACTTGCCCTTCATCATTTTGACAATCGTAGCGGTTATGGAAATTTATTAGCAATCGGAATACATTCTTGAAATTTGTACAAGCTAGAGTGCTACACCACAGACCCTATAGCCCTGACAAGAGAGGTGGAGCAGGAATTTGAGACAATTTGTTAAAATCTCTTTACTGTCGTCCACAGACGCGGCAATGAACATAAGCCAATGAACGTACGATACTATGTGAGTGACCTAATTTTTCAACTCGAGCTCGGACTTGATCGCTGGACGGCCACTGAGTGTATATCGTTGCATGGACGCGAGCCTCTTGTCGCAGTGTGAGCGCGCCATAGATGTGATCTTAACTTAACAAAGTGGTGTGCCCTTCGTTTTCTATTTGAAATTCTAACATTTTCCTATAGTGTCTTTTAAAATTTTTGACTTGCCTGGTTGGATGAAGGGCACTGTTCCTGTAACATGCTGGTAGCTTGCACCGACTCTGGCATTTGAGGATCGGATCGTGGGGTAGGCCAGTGGGCATCTTTCGGCTGTCGAGTGCTCGGGGCTAAATAGGTAGAGCCCATTTCACCGGCGACATTAGGAACTGGATCTCTGTCGATTAATTCATCCAAAATATCGTACTCTCTTTTTGCTTGTCGAGAGCCTCCTAGCCATAAGGCAACACATGATCAAAGGAAAAGAAAGGATCTGATTTGTTATAACATTCATGCACGGACAATTCCACTCAATTGCTTCTTGTTATATGCTGTATTTGATTCAGTTAGACAATCGCATAGTTAATTAAAAGTGTGCTTCAATATCCAAGAGCAAATACAACCCTTGGTCACAATTAGTTACCAATTTTCCTGCTGTGATTGATCATGCCCGTGCATGTCTCGTTTTCTACGTCTTTTTTTCAATGAATACTAAACAGTAAATTGGATGATGGCACGGTATGCCAAAATCATATCCCACCTCTTTTGCACCAATGTGGATTTCTCCGATTGTTAAAATTCATACCACAGAACAGGGATTGCTATTGCATATAATTCTGGACGCGAGTTCTACGGACATTCTTTGAAAATCGAAGCTAGAACAATCTAGCCGGAGACAACCTCTGAATTTTTCACTGAATCTTCTATTAGGTTCTTGTCGCATGGCAAATTATAGGAATATCGACCAGGGCGATATCGCTTTGGCTTTACTGTCCTTTGGCGGGAATCACAACTTGTGTTCGGACGACGAGGAAGATGACGATTCCGCTGGTGTCGACTGTTTCCGCTAGTGTGGAAAATCTAGCGTCGCCATTTTGTAGCTGTGTCCACGAGCTGCACTAAAAACGCGATGACGCAATGTACGCGCATACACCCTGCGCAGTGCACGCGCTGAGATCCCTACTATCAGTTCTAGGACGTCTTGTATGCGCACTCCAACAGGCTTCCAAATTGGAAGGGGTTTTAAGTTATGTGATAACGTAAGAGGGGAACTTGTAGGTCCTGGTCTTTTTCCTTTTCTATATATATTTGCCATCTGTAGTCGATTATCACGCTCGATGCGTTGTCCTATGGCTCCGTAAACTCGAGAAGTAAAGGACTCCTTAATGGTGCACAGCTGGGTGAAAGCGTGGAAATATTCCGGATTCGGAACGCACAAGGAGTATGGAGACATTCTACGACCCGACACATGGGTGCATCAAGGCTGCGAGGCACAAACCAACACCCTGGTACCTGGGTACATCAAACCTGCGAGGCACAAACCAACAACCTTCGAACTTGGAACGCTCCAGTAAGGAAAGGTCGGATGAGGGGAAGGAAAGAGCAAATGAGATGAGCACGAGCTGTATCATACCGCAACAAAGGGTGCGGAAAGTTAATGAATGACGACGAAACTATACAAACTGGTTATGCTACAACTCGACGACGTATACATGTATCTAATATTTGTGATCTGGTCACTTTGGTGGACCGTTATTCATACCTCACAATGAATTCTTTTGTTGTGAACGATTATTTTTGCTCGTCAACTAAGTTCTACATCCAGGCCAACTAGTTATTTTGCAGATCCAAGGACCTGCACCAACAGTTTGTGATGACAATACCAAGCCAGTAGTGGATTTGCGCTATATTCCTTGGAATATTTCGTACAGAACTATAAGTTCTCAATAACTTTAAAACTGTATACTCACTTGCCGTCTGGTAATCCAGGTAAGAAAACAACTGTTGGTCGGTCTCTGTCTCCGTACTCCCTGCTTGATGGTCACTGCCATCAATACCGCTGTATCTCCCTTCTTCTAGGGTCCTGTGCGCATTGACAGGGCAGACAGACCCTCAACCACATAACATCCAGCACCAAAGCGAAAACTAACAGCCTTTAATACATCAATATCCTTCAGCCCTTCTAACGCATGACAATGTATTTCGTCACCTTTACTCCCAAAATCAAACCCTTACCAAAAACATTCAAAAAACATTCACGATATCAGAATACTGCACAGTGTTGTCAATTAGAAAAAATGAGAGATGAACAATTTTGTTTCGACTTACATCGCTTCCTGCGCAGGTCCTTGTGGGTCGGAAGTTTCCGAGGGAACTCCTAAAATAGGGAAACTTCCAACTGTGCGAACAGATGGCATTGGCGGTGCGGAAATGCATGGCGAGGTGTATATTCCTCCTATACAACCCAACTCTGGAATCTGTATTTGGACACAATGTGGAAGTGGGTGTTTTATCACGATCATTGTTAGGCCTCATTTACACGACAACGATTGAAAAACGTTTTTCAATCGTTTTCGAAACGTTTTTGCTGTTTACACGAAAACGATAATCGTGTACACTGGAACACTTTTTTCGGCGCGCATTGGTCACGTGCAAAAAGTTGGTCTGGCGCAGGCCGGCGGGCGGCGGCGGCATTACATGTTTTGAGTACAAGGCTCGTACTAGAAAAACGTTTTTGCCGTTTACACGAGAACGAAACGGAACGAAAACGATTGAAACACACTTTGAGGCCGTTTTTCGTTTGAAACGTTTTTGAAACGTTTTTCAGCGTTGTCGTGTAAACGCTCTTATCAAAATCTGTGGAAGCGTATTCTTTTGAAAACGTTTTTGACAAAAACGTTTTTCAATCATTGTCGTGTAAACGAGGCCTTAGTGTCACACATGTATCATTCAGTGATGTGAACTTGTGTCACTTCTTGGTTGTTCATTAAGAGTACGTAGTAATCGATAAGTAATCGATAAGTTTTGGATTAACCGTTAAGGAATATCCCTTAATCGTTTCACCCCTAGTACGTACGTGTTTCATGGGTATAACGATGTCTCCTGTTCAGAGGCGTACGAAAACTTGTTCGAATTGTTCTTGATTTTTCACTATTGCATTTTCTCGGATTGAGAGCCAAGGATCAATTTATAGTGAGGAAAAATGGACCAAGAAACCACAAGTTACGCTATGATGTCCACTTACACCACCAGTTACTAAACAATCAGCTCATGCGATAGCATTGCACGACACTGACCGACGATACTGACCTTCTAAAATTAACTGGCCAACATCTCTAGCGCATATTGGATGCTCACTCAAACAGCCTTCTAACTTGGAAGGTTCTATGTTATAGAAATAAGATGAGGAGCCGAAGTAACTGGTGGTGTAAGTGGAGATTATAGAAACTGTTACCCCAATGCCTTGCTTTTTTACGCTAGTACTAATGGCTTTCAGCTATGCCAAATGTATGCAAAAAATGGGCACCCATCTTCGGTAGCCTCGACCGTTCGTTGTATCGCGCACATGTCCAATTATCCAATAGTCTATTATATTAATTATTCCTATCTTTTCACATCTTTCCCTCGCGTTGATCTATTGTTATTAAGCAATTGTCTGTTATAGTCACCATTATTAATAAAATCCAATCAATCCAATCAAAATAGCGTAACGTGTGATTTATTGGTTCCTTTTTCTTTACTATAAATTGCACATTCTGTTCACATTTTTATTGCACAATGTTTCCATCAATGTACACAGTTTAAATAAAGTAACCACATGTCCATTCACCCTGTTCTCTTTATTAGGATTGTAAGATTGTTGTCTCCCTGAAGTTTGTTCATTAACGCCGATGGGAAGCCAATGTATAAGCAGCGGAAAGCGTGAGCTCCGATGTCAGGAGCAAACCTACACCTCTCGTTCATTTAACCTTTTCGTGAAAGAGGGTTTTCACACCACTGAATGAAACTGCATGTATTTGAACCGTCATTATACAACAATACATACTGTGATCACCTAATACCCCCGTCGTCGAAGGTCACAAGTTTGACCGAAAAGTAACGGACCCTTCTCTGGACGGATGCCACATGTATATTATTGCGTTCTATTTGTGTTTTTTTATATTTCCTAAGTTACTGATATATGGACTGGGTTGGAGAGCCAAGGATTTCTTGTAGATTCTTGTTCTTTTTTTCTCCCTCTATAAATTACTGATTTTTATTTGGGTTTTCCTTAACAAAACAGTTTAGGCTTAACTGATGTGGTATAAATCAGTCAACTACATTATACAAAGCTCTCGGCAGGCAACTATACTGTAGTGGAGTGGATTGTCATGGCAAAGCACGTTAAGGCTAGACTTAATTGATCTAGGCTAAGTTTCTTTGATATTCGTTGTGTTCTTCTATTGTCTATTCTGCTTGACTTACCTGATAGGATGCATTATATTGTCCCTGTAACATGCTGGTGGCCTGCACCGAATTGGTAATGTGTGGATTGGATTCCAGCGTGGGCCCGTGAACGTCTTCCAGCTGTCCAGCGTTCCGCGCTATATCCGTAAAGCTCATTTCAACGCCAACAGCAGGACCTGGCCATCCGTCGATTACTTCATCCAAAATATCGTACTCTCTCTGCGCGTTAGTAGGGTCCCCTAACAATAAGGGAATGCACGACCAAAAGTGAAGAATATTTATTTTATTGTGAAAAGAAGAAGGACAAAATGTTACGAGTTATGACTAATGACTCTTTTCTCAATAATTTTATTGGCTCACCATCCGAGTTAATTATTTATTTTGATATTTGTTTGCTCAAATAAGATTTCGGTGATAACAATAACATTCATGGCGTTCTTCGAAATCCAAAAACGAACGAAACCCTCGCTCTCCATTCCGTCTTTGCTAAACACCACATTGGAGAATGTGTCATTACACGAAGCGCAAATTTAACATTGTGTGTTTCTTATCCTGCTGCAGCAGGTTATACCTTTCTTTGACTTTCCTTTTCCAATGAATGCAAAAAAGTAAATCGGATCAAGTCCAGCTATAGCAAATTTACATGTATAATTCAGCGATAGCGACAAACTACGGCTAAAATTTAAAATTTTGGTTCGTTCTTTTGAAAATGATCCTTGGCTCTCCGTCCGAGTCTTACTTGCACACCTGATGAGTCGTCAGAATCCAAATGGCCAAACCTACTTCGTGTGATACTACCTGTTATTGCCGTTCGTAATCCCACCACAAATTCCATTCTATATGTAGTTTAGGACGAAGAGATTGTACCATCCATTCTGTCTCACTTCGTGTTCGGGTAACTTCTAATCTTGTTGCTTATCTCCTATACACATGAGCCTCCCAACTTGGGTGGTCTTTGTTTCGCGTTCTCGAAGTAAGCCGTTCATGTTCTGTGCCGTAGTTCTTTGTCTTCGTTACCAACTCGTTATAGGTAACATTCTTACTTTGCTGCGATGTTTAGCATGTTTTTGTCTTGAATGCGCTCACCTGTACCATTTCAGTCCTTTCTTACAGAGTACGTAAAGTTCAAAATATGAACTTAGAGGTTGGAATTCGGAGGTTTTAATCATTAAATTGGCTGTTCCAAAGTGGAACACACGCTTCCTGCTGTACTTGACACTTGACTGACTCACGACTGCATCCGGAGCATACGAGGAGCACGTCGCACATTCCACTCGGCATACCTGCAAGAAAGCACCACTCCATCCTCAATACACAGTGTTTCGGAAAATTCATCCCTCGTCAGTTGGCTTTTGTTAGGCTGAGTAAGGTTATGCCTAAGTCAGAGTCGCTCATGGAATTGTGTTAATCAGTCTTTGAGCGCTATCGGCTCTTAAAAACGTTGTCACCTCCAACGAGGTGTTAGTTGCGCTGGAAACAAAGCGGCTCTGCAAGTTTGTATCCCTGGACATGGTTTGGGCTGGAAGGCACTATACATGTGGTGATTTTCAGGCACAATCTTCCTCAGCCTACTCAAGCTCAACTGACGAGGGGCGAATTACCCCAAACACAATGTATTGTTATGTGGTGCGTTTCTGCAGGTTTGGTAGGTACGACGTGCTCCTCGTGTGCTCCGAATACAGTCATGAGTAAGTCAATGGTCAAGCTCGGCAGAACAGTGCGTTCCTCGTTCAACCAGCTTTTAGATTATATTTATTTTTACAAAAATATTAACAGGATAAAACGAACTCGGGCGCATCACGTTTGCACCCATTTTACATTTTACATTGTACTACTTGTACGAGTTATGATTAAATGTGCACCAAGGTAGCCGGATCATAAAATGTATGCTGTGAACGAGACCGATGAAAGGCACACAACGAACTAGAAGAGTACATTCAGCGACTAGACACATCTGTATATCACGCCTTCGAGGCAGAAACCCATAACCTGTGAATTTGGAGAGCTCAGGAAGGGGGAGGTCGAATGAAGGGAAGGAAGGAGCAAAGGATATAGGCATTAGCTATGTCCCACGGCAATGAAGAGAACGAAAAGTCTATGAACGACAACGACATTAGAGGGACATTTGGACATACTGGTCTTACTGCAATTCGACGTGTACCTACATGTATTTTAAAAGATCAAATGGTCACTTTGGTGGACTTTTGATCATAACCCATAATATATTGCCCTTCCTGTTTTGTCCATAAGCAGCATAAACACATTCGCTTGCAAACTCAGTTCTAAATCCCGACCAATTTTTGTGTTTTGTTTTTGTTTTTTTGCTACATGTATGTTCACATTCCCAGCTCGAAAATAATGAAGAAAGACAATGGTACTGCGTCGAGGACGAACGTGACCACTATTGAGCAGGGACTGCACCGAGACGCAGCACTGATGGTAGGACATTCATGGCTCTGCCAACCTGAGGTCTCGGCATCACGGCCAAAAACGCGCACCAAAAAAATCAAAAAGAGAGAGAGAGCTGTACGAGTCAGCAAAGTGAAAAGAAGGGAAGTCTAGTATAAATGTTGGTGTATCAAAGAACTTGGTACCCTAGTTTGCAATGAAACAGCCAACAATGGATTTGGGCTACACTCCTTAGAATATTGGAACAGGACCATTAGTTTTCAATAACTTTTATACAATGTACATGTCCTTACGTGCCGTCGGGTAATTCAGGTGCGAGAACAGCTCGGCATCGGACTCTTGTTGCTGGTCACTACCATCAATACCTCTGTTTCTCCGGTCTTCCATGACCCTGTGCCCGTGTTGTCGAATCCGAAGAGGAAAACACTCCTAAAGAGACTCATTGGCTGATGAACACAAGGACTTGAAAATACAAACTTCAATACTCAACTAATTTCAGAAAATAATGAGCACTGTCTCAAATTCTTATTTGGCCGAGTAGTGTTGAAGATTGTATCACCCCGTTGTTGATGGTGTAACATCTCAGCAGAAACAGTAACAATCATCGAAGTTATGGTAAGAGAGTGAAATAGTGGTATTCCGCCAGTCTCGTTGTGACATTGTACTACACGATCGTGTACCTTCTCATAGTGTGAACATGGATATGAATTTCCAGTGCCAGTATTGTGCTATTTGTTTTCTTTCTTGTAAGGTCAACTAGACTGCACAGACTCAGTATGTAGCACCGGCTCGGCACAAGAGTAGGCAAGGAGGAAGTCAGTTTGTCGCGCAATATCGTGCTAATACTTCAGTGATGTTCAATTGCATCACTTAAACTCTGCAGCACTACAAATATCGACGTGTAGTAATCCTATCATGGTCAATTGGAGCAACAGGGATACACGTTCGTGCCTACCTGGCACGCTTATGTATATTATTATCAAAATAGAAGGTCCAATTTAGCGAAGATTTGCACCACACCTCAGCCAACAGAGACCAGCGAAGATATTCTAGTACTCGGAGCGCTACACCGGTCCGTCTCCCAATATCACACGGCTGACACTGAACGTTTCTAATTCTGCTCTCTAGATCAAGGTGTTGGTCATCGTCAGTCAAAAAGTCGAGTGCAGCTATTTTTGCTCCCTGCACGTTGCCCTGATGAAAACGTAAACCGTTTTCGAAGATGTGTCACACTCGCATTTGTCACCCAGAATACTGTAAACGTGTACGTAGCTGCTCCCGATTAACCCAAGCATCGATATATCGTTTTAGGTTGAATGAGAAATGTTTCTCCAACAGGACGGAAAGTTTGCGCATTGTTTTCTCAATGGACACGATAACTTCGGATGATTCGATAATGGGGCCGGGGAAGGTTCTCACTAGTAAGTTAAGAATAATTATTTCTTAAACGTATGCATTGACATTTTTATTATTTTTATTTTACTAGAGCCACGTAAACCCGTCATGTGTGAGCCATGAATAAAAGGAGTGGTGGCGTGGTCTGGGATTAAATGCACAACTACTAAAAAAGAATACTGCGAAAAATCAGACGAAGCTTTGCTGCCTTGAAGATTGAGCAAAATCGAAATAGGATTATGGTTTATACTTGCAAAGTGGTGCTCGCGTACCCTTCATAAAGGCCTTACATTCGGGAGAATTTTTTTGCTTATTTGCAGTGCACTAGACTGGTAAGCGTCGTTTGTGATGACGTTCTTGCATTCTGAGATTTGATGAGTGCGTGGATGATTTCTCGCATACAATATGAAAACACGGCGTCTCCCCAGTAAGTATATGTGAGCGAAAAGTTGATAATTGCCTGAGAGACATTTCACACACCTTGTATGTAAAAGTAAAAGGTTTTTCTCTTTAATGTACACTCTCATGTAATATTTCTTCTTTTTGTGAGAGCTTGGACAATCCACTTGTCCAGGCAAGAAGGCAGCAATGCCTGTTCATTCTGGCGAAGTAAAATAAAATATACCAACCAACCAATGTATGCGATTATTAACATGTAGAGGGACCGGGCAATGGAAGGATGGAGAGAGAGAGAGAGACAGAGAGCACTGCTTGAAGTGTTTGTTTGGCTCACTGTAATTACTCCAGATTATTGAATGGTGTATGATCTACTCGATATTTTCTACAATGGTTTTTCCTGATTTGCGGGATCTCTTCTTTTGCTGTTTGCGTGTTTACAGGAAGTGGCTGTCTGTTGTAGACAGCCTGGGGAAATTAAGTCAGATGCAGAGGCAGGATCGTCCAGTGATGCTACACTGACGTTCTGTGTGCAACGCCACTGCTAATGCCCCTAGCGAAAACACCAAAAAACAAACACGTGAAAGGACTACAGTATTTACCGTTTTGCTAATATATGCATGACTGCTCGGACAGTCGATAATCGAAACACAGAGCACCAGCATGATGTTTTCATATTGGGAACCACACAACAGCTCAATTCTCAAGCCCAAGAATTGATGAATACAAAACACAGAGCGACGCAACAAGAGATCATCCCGCAACCAAACCAACCTGGGTCTAATGCACTGAATAGTCCTGAAATATGCAGGCCAGACAACGCAGTGCAAGCACATAATGTTACAAGGTACTTGAGTTGCAGAACAAAGTGGAACCAAAGATACACTGGGTTATAGCTGCACACTTGTGCATGTGCTTGCTTAGCCTAAGAACACTCAATCATGATGATAGAAACAATTCGGGGGAAACACGCTAACACCAAAGTAAGCATCAACACGTAAATGGTGCAGCTCTGAAAAAAATACATTGGCATGTGCATTGGTGTGCAAAGTAGTATCATCCTTGATTAGTCATCCAACCAAGACTTCATCAGGTTCTAACGTGTTAGACGCTGAGATCGCACGCCGAATGTGAAGTGCATCTAGCCTTGAACCTGTCGCACAAGGCACACACACATGGCAAAATGACATCCACTCTGAATATTTCCAGAGGCCAATCATGACAGAACACTGAAATGAAACCACGGGCTCAACCAAGTAAACGCAAAGGCAGTTAGTCAAAATAAGCCATGCAGTGCTTATTTAATTGCAGCGCTGACTGCAGTGTGGCGTTGTAGCCCAATGCCCACTGAGCACAGACACAAGCTCCATTCGACAGGGGCAAGACATACTCTTTTAGTATAATGTCATAAAGTACAGCATTCCAATGACATTACGGACACCTCGTGCAAATGCATGGTCTGTTCGTCTGGCCGACTCGGCTACGCACGAGAGTGTGGGCATGTACGTGTGCATGTACACGCGCACGCAAGCGCGCACGTGCACACACACACACCATGTATTCGGTGCGTATGGCGTACCAGTTGCGGCTCAATGAAGATAGAATCATTACCATGATGTTACATGTACATGAACAGTGTATATTTCAGTGTAAAGTAAATTTTATTTTATTGCAAATTTCTTCGACACAACTTAGTTACTTCACATCTTTGAATTTCTCATAATCGATCCACCTGAACTATGTATCAGTTTAGGAAAATTCTCCCAGGTATACACTAGTCACCACAGCCATGTGATGACATTGGGATGGGCCCCAAGTACGATTGCACTCTCCAATTACAATAAATTTGCGCAGATTATCTGTGCAGAAAAAATTGAAATGCATGCCGGCAATCGATGCATGAAGAGAGAGTATGTAAATACACATATCTTTCCACATGTTCAGGAGCTTACCGTTTGGAGTTCACATCGTTTACACGATCTCTCATGCTGTCTTACACCTTGGCTTTGTTGACCATGGATACGCAATCCCAGAAAACATTCTACAGGAGCTACTAATGTTTTTTACGCTCAATCTCGGCGGTCTACCTCGTCACGTCAATAAATTCCTCCGTGACACTGGCTACAGTCACAAGAGACGTCTCAGTAAGGTAATGAGAAGGACAACACCGTCGAGATCAAGGACAACGAGAAAACAAGACACTCAATAAATACAGCAAAGAAGAAACGAAGACAAGTACAGGATTCCTATATGTTGCCACTGACAACTGGTTCGGTGGAGAGGACGCTACATTTGTTTGTACCCAGTGGGATCGTTGCTATTCGTATCGAAGGAACTGTGACGTCATCACTTAACAGCCCCATATTGGGCTTTGGTAAAGCTGAACGCGTGTGCGAAAGGACCACCCAAAATGATCTGGTCTAATAATGAGCTCTCAGCGGGAACTCAACAGCGGCAATTAACATTTCGGGAAAGTAGCAACTACATGCAGTTGTAGCCCTGCTTTCGCGCCACACCGTTCAGGGTCCTGGACCAGGGAGGCTCTTCCTTGACTTGAGTCATGCATGACCAGACCGGTAACACACCGAGTGTGCAATTCTGGCGCCAGAATTAGAGAAATGCCACCCTCTCTTTATAATTGACGGATTGGAAGGAATTGTGTAATCGAACTGTGTATCAACAATAACTATTTCTAGAATTGACCGATATGCGTGTAATGGTAAGCGCCCATTGTCTCTGTGCCTTGAAAATGCAATTGCTTGTTGTTGCTGCAGTGCCTGCAAACGGGGATTGATGTTTGGTCAGAGTGCGTTCTCTGCAGTTGCCGCTGTTGCCAGGGAGCCAGATAGAGCGCGCTGCAAACTATGTGAAGCTCTCGAGATCCACGACACTGGGCCCCATGTTAACATCAACACTGGATGGGAAAAAACAAATAATTAGAAAAAACAGTAGTAGAAACAGTACAGTAGTAGAAACAGCAGAAAAAACAAATAATTATTTGGATGATTTCAACTGTTTCTTTCATCATCCATTGTGTTTCTTTTGCCCGTAAAAGAGGCTTCGCACTACTGTTTATTTGATAATAACTGCATTGGACATTCATTATAATGGAATAGCCACAGAGCCGTCATCCCTGAATACGAGTCACTTACATTTGGGAAGCTTCACTCACTGATATGCCTCTTGCAGTATGCATGCACGAGAAGTAAGACATAGGTGTGAACCACAGGTATTAGGAAGGTGAAAATTACTGAATGAGACAATATGCCTCTTGCAGTATGCATGCACGAGGCGTAAGACATAGGTGTGAACTACAGATGTTAGGAAGGGGAAAATTACTGAATGAGACAATATGCTTTGGTTCCGGCGGTGAAGATCTCACCTACACCTTCGAAGCTCAACTCGCTGTATCTGTCATTCTTGTGGCGCCAGATGATGCTGTGTTTGGCGGTAGGATTTGTTCTTACGATAGGTTTTGGTGCTGGCGTTAAATGTCTCACTTACACCTCTGCCACTGATTCTACTTCTCTTTTTGCGCGGCATTATGCTGTTTTGGCGGTAGGACTTTGGCATGAAACTGCTTCTTTCGACCTTCATGGCATCATTGTTCCATTTCGTACCTGACGATGGCAAATTTGCCGAAACATTGAGCATAAAAGGAATCGGTTGGATTTTGCAG